ATCCACACCAGGGAAGTCCCAAGACAGATTTTGGATTGAGTATTTTCAATTCCAATTTATCTTGTTTGTTGGCTTGTTTTGTTATTTAGTGGGTACTTTATTTAGAGTGAAAAGTGAAAGTGAAAGTCGCCTCCACCTCTTTGCAACCCTCCAGGCCAGAATACTGGAGTGGGTAGCCTTTCCCTTCTCCAGGGGATCCTCCCAACCCAGGGATGAAGCTCAGGTCTCCCACTTTGCAGGCGGATTTTCTACGAGCTGAGCCACAAGGGAAGCCCAAGAACACTGGAGTGGGTGCTGTCCCTTCTCCAGGGGATGTTCCCAACCCCGGAATCAAACTGGGATCTCCTACACTGCAGGTGGATTCTTTACCAACTGAGCTGTCAGGGAAGCCCTTATTTACAGTACACATCTTCAACATGTGTGTGTGTTAGTCGCTCAGTCATGTCCAACTCTTGGCAACCCTATGGACTGTAGCCAGCCAGGTTCCTCTGTCCTCTCTAGGCCAGAATACTGGAGTGGGTAGCCTTCCCCTCCTCCAAGGGATCCTCCCAATCCAGGGATAGAACCCAGGTCTCCTGCATTTCAGCCAGAAGTTTTACCATCTGAGCCACCAGGGAAGCCCATTGGATATTTGGACGGATACTTTCAATGGGTATTATACTACCCCCCATATGCTATAAGAACTGTATAGCAGAGACTTCCCCGGTGGTCCAGTGTTAAGCATCCACCTTGCGGTACAGAGGACACAGATTCGCTCCCTGGTCGGGGAACTAAGACCCCATGTGCCTCGGGGCAATGAGGCCCACAAGCCACAGCTAGAGAGAAAAATCCCTCACATCACAGCTAAGACCTGACACAGTAAAACAAATTAAAAAAAAAAATTTTTTAAGAAGCTTACAATAGCATATTTGCTTTTCTCCCCTTCTGAATTTCTTTTTGGCAATGCAGTGGGATTTTTTTTTTAATAATTGTGGTAAAATATACATAATATGAAATTTATCATTTTAACCATTTTTAGGTGAACAATTTAGTGGCATTAAGTACATTCACAGTATTGGATCACCATCCAACTCCAAAGCTTTTTCAGTATCCCAGAAAGGAACTCTGTACCTATTAAATGACTCTTTCCATTCCCCACTCCCCCAGTCCATGGTAATCACTTTTGTGTCTGCTTATTTCACTTAGCATAATGTTTTCAAGGTTTATCCATGTTGTAGCAGGTGTCAGAGTTTCCTTCTTAAAGCTAAATAATATTCCATTGCACATACAGACCACATTTTGTTTATCCCATCATCTGTTGGTGGACATCTGGGTTGTTCACCTTTGGAACTTATGAACGATGCTGTGATTCCCCTCCTGCCTTTTACGCTACTACTGCCAAACACTTGACTTTTACATATATCACATAGAGCTCACAGGGGCTTCCCAGTGGCACTAGTGGTAAAGAACCCGCCTGCCAATGCAGGAGGCATGAGAGACACGGGTTCATCCCTGGGTCAGAGAGATCCCCTGGAGGAGGGCACAGCAACCTGCTCCAGCACTCTTGCCCGGAGAATCCCAAGGACAGAGGATCCTGGCGTGCCACAGTCCATAGGGTTGCAGAGCTGGACATGACTGAAGTGACATAGCACGCACACACAGACCTCACAGCACACCATTATTACTTTTGCTTAAACAGAAATTGCTTTCTAAAGATACCTAAATAGCAAAACATCATGTATTTATCCACAGAGTTATTTCCAGTTTTTTATTCCTTTGTGTAGAACCGTATTTTCATTCATTTCTTCCCACATTAAAGCATCATCATTCTCTTCCTGCCTGAACTATTTCCTCACAGTGCAGATGTGCTGATAATTCTTTTCTGCTGTAGGTAAAGATAAAAAATATCTTTATTTTGCCTTTGTTTTTGAAAAAATATCTTCACAAAACATAGGATTCTAGATTGACAGCTTAGGGTACTGAATGAAAAAATAAGATGTCACTCCACTGTCTCTTCACTTCCAACGAGAAATCTCCTACTGTGCTCATCTCTGTTCCTTTCTACAGAAAAGGTCTTTTTTTCCTCTGGTTGCTTTAAAATTTTTTTTCTCTCTCTCTCTCTCTCTTTTTTTTTTTGTGGACCATTTTTAAAGTCTTTATTGAATTTTTTTGCAATACATGTTCTGTTTTATGTTTTTATTTTTGGCCAAGAGGTATGTAGGATCTTACCATGGATGGAACCTGTGTTCCCTGCCCTGGGAGATGAAATCTTAACCACCAGGGAAGTCCCAAAATTTTCTCCTTATCAGTGGTTTTGAGCAAATTGATTGTGTTCTTTGGTACAGTTTCTCTCATTTTCTTGTACTTGACATTCCTTGAATTCCTTGGATCTCTAAGTTATAACTTTCATCAAATTTGGAAACTTTTCAGTCTTTACTTCTCCAAATATTTTTCTGTTCCACCTCCTGCCCTCTCCTAGGAATTCCATCTACATTCACTGATGCTCTTCTGTTTATTCTTTGTTTTTGTTATTTATTCTTGTTATTTTTCTCTGTGTGTCTCATTTTGAATAGTTTCTCTTGCTATGTCTTCAAGATCACCCATTTTCTTTCCTGCAGTGTCTAATCTACCATTGATTTTGTTCAGCATGTTTTCACCTAAGATATTTTCTTGCCTAAAAGTTTTCATCTGTAAAAGTTCAGCATGTATTTTTTAAAAAATACTTACCTGCCTCTACTTAACTTTTTGAATATAGGAATACAGTTATAATTACTGTCTCCTTCTGTCAATTCTAACATCTGTGTCAATGTTGATTGATTAGCAAGGGGCACAGCCTTCTTTTCATGCCTAGTAATCTTTGATCAGATGCCAGTCATTGTGAGTTTTACCTAGTTGGATACTGGATGCTTTTATATTCTTATAAATCTTCTTGAGCTTTGTTCTGAGATGCAGTTAAGTTATACATAAAGAATTCTCTCCTTTCGTGTCGTGCTTTGATGCTTACTCAGGAGGGCTCAGAGCTGTTTAAGGCCAGTCATTTCCCATGACTGAGGTAAGACCTTCCCAAGCAGTCCACCCAGTGCTCTATGACACAAATTTTTCCAAATGGGCTGGTGAAAACAGGCATTCTTCTTTACCCTACATGAGCTCTAAACCCTTCCTTTCTAACTCTTTCCAGTGGATCTTTCCCAGCCTTGGGTAATTTCCTCACAGAATGATCAGGATAAGCAGAAATCACAAGGACTCTTGGCAGATTTCCAGAGTTCTCTCTGTGTTACTTTGTCTTGTGAAATCTAGATATCTTGATCTCCCTGGATCCTCAGCTCTATCTCCCAACCTTGGAAGTTTGCTGAGCTCCTTCTTCTTACACCATGGCAAAGCATTAGGCTGAGACTATCAGAGTTTACCCTGGATTTTCCTGTATCTTTCAGGGATCTCTGGCGTTTGATACTTGGTATCCGGTGTCTTTAAAAACCAGTGCTTTGTGTGTTTTGGTCAGTTTCTGTTTCCCTCAGGGAATTCTCATGTACCACTCTTGGTAATTAAAACGAGGTCAAAATTACCAACAGCCAGAGTGTGTGTGGCCTCACCATCTTCTCACTCCAGGCCTCAGGCTGATGAGTCATCCCCGCCAGAAACTGCCCTTCTGAGCCTATGGTTATAGGTGCCAGCTGGTCCTGAACCAGCGTGAACCAGTGCACCTAGCCTGGGGCGGGGGCGGGGGGCAGGTGAGGGGCTGCCATGTTCAGGAAGGGAGTCTTTGTCTAATACACACGAAGGTTCCACTTGTAATGACAACCTACCTGATCTCCTCCATTCTGACCCTTCCCCTCTCCAGATGACTACCCGATCTCCTCTGACCCACAGGCCCTGGCAGCTAAACATGGGAAAGGCCACTACCTTCACACGAAGCAGACACAAGGTCTTGGCTGACACAGCATTTGCCTCAATAACACTGGGCTGTGGATGGCAACAGGAGTAAGTCAGTCTCTGCGGCCAAAGCAAGGTTACAAAAGTTTCCATGGGTATCCAACAGTGGAAATTTAGGTATCCAAATTTTCCTTTTTAAATAAAAATGGTACACAAAAAGCATCTTGAAAATTTATGCTTGATGTCATTTTGGTTTTTAATTCTGGGTATGTGTTCATGTGTATTAGACTGAAACAAAGGGGTGACAATCTATCCCTCTGAAGATTACAGAGGCCAACAACCCCTCTGTTTCCTTTAGAAACAGTATCTAAAAACGCCGTTACCCTCAAGAGTACCCCAAGCTTAACTATTCCCTGTATTAGTTTGCTCAAGAGGCCATAAAATGCTTCAGACTAGATGACTTAAACAGAAATGTATCTTCTCACACTTCTGGAGGCTGGAAGCCCAAGATCAAGGCGCCTACAGGGCTGGTTTCCGGTGAAGCATCTCCTCCAGGCTTGTGGGTGGCAACCTTCCGGCTGAGTCCCCATGTAGCTTTTCCTTTATGTGATGTGTGAAGTGAGAGAGGTATCTTGTGTCTCTTTCTCTTCTTATTAGGACACCAGTTCTCTTAGATTAGGGCCTCACCCTTATGATCTCACTTACCTTTAATTACCTCCTTGAAGGCCCTATCTCCAAATACAGACACATTTGGGTTACTGCTTCAACATCTGAACTTGAGGGAGACACAATTCAGTCCATAGTGCTCCCCAAAACAAACATCTTATTCCAGGTCCCCTGTTTCATTTTCATTCTTCTCTCAGGATGACAGAGGACTCTCTGAGTATTTGACTCTAAGATCACCTTTGGGGGAGGAAGAGGTATCCCTACAAGTGAGCAGTCCCTCCGGACTAGCCTGATTGGGTCTCTCCTTGGAAACCCCAGAGAGCTGGTCCTTGCAAAGCAACTGTCGCTGCTGCCACCCCAGACCCAAGTCAGGACACCCACTCACGGGGAAAAGTCAGTGTCACCAGGATTTTATCAAGCCACACAGTGCAAGCTCACTTTTGCCTTCCACCCCTTCCTCCTCCTACTCATGTCCCCTTCCCCATTTCTCCTCTTCGGCTGCATCTGTGCCCCCAGCCGGCCTGGCCTCCGTGCTCTCTTCCCTCACAGATGCCTCTGTAACATAGGCAGGGTACCAGGAGCAAGATAGCATGGCAGAGGTTCCCAGATTTTGTTGCACAACAGCATTGCCTGGGGAGCTCTCAAAACTCCCAATGTCCAGACTGAGAGAGAAAAAAACTCCCAGTGTCCAGATTTCATCTTTTATGGATTAAATCAGAATGTCTGTGTTTGGAGCCAGACATCACTATTTTTAATGAGGAACTCGGTTTTGAATACCGGCTTCATTAGTTCTAGCATGGCCTTGGGCAAGTTATTTAGCCTTAAATGGAGATAATAGCAGCATCTATCTTATAAGATTGTAGCAACGATGAAATGAGCTAATACCTATGAAGAACTCAGAACAGTGCCTAACATTTAAGGTATGTACTAACTACTATCATTACTAGCTGTGCCCTAAATGAAACTAGTGACTACAGAGGAAAATCCTTTACTAACTCAAGAATTCAGGGACGAGAATCAGTATACTTATTGCCCTAAATGTGAAAGAGGAAAGACTGAGCTAACAGTTACCAAGAACCTCCTTGGTGCAAAGCATGCATTATTTATCTTAATTTTTACAAGAATTTCTCAAGACCAGTATTATAATTATTCAACAGATGAATAACCAAAGGTTCAAAGAGGCAGTCAGGTTAATCTAATGATGGAACTGGTATTTACAACCATATTTCTCACTCCAAACTCAGGCTCCTCTGAATTCTATTTTCAGCTGGCTCTTGACCCATGGTCTTCTATGTTTGTCTTTGCATCGCCCAATTTCAGCAAAAATCCTGCTAAGATAGTTTATCCAGAATACCTCACTCTCCATAGCTGAGAAAAATTCCTCATACCCAATTGTCGCCCAGGTGATGTCTGATCACCTCAACCTACTTTCAGCAAGAATCCGGTCAGATAGGTTTAGCCAGAAACCCCCTTCGATACCTGATGTTTCTTCTCAGTAATTTTCCATCCAGCAACCCTCCACCCTGCTCCTTGGGTGCAAATCCCCACTTGCTCATGTTTATTAATAACTGATTCCACTTCCATACTGAGGACTCTTTTCCCTTCTTGCAATAGTCCCTGAATAGAACCTTGTTTTTTTTTAACCATTTGGCTGTCCATCTCTGGTTTTGCTTTGACAACCAACAGACACACATATGTGCATGCATACACAGACACACACACAACAGAGCTCTGGAGAGTCCCCTCAGGAGCTCCGGCCAGCTGGACTAAGGAGCCCTCCTTGGTAAGGAACATGGAAACAGTCCCAATCCCCAATCGGTAGCAGTTACAACTCAGTAGTGACTCTTTCACACTCGCGCCTGTCAACAGCACCCACCATGGTCTGTTGTGGCCACGCTGGTCTTGGGAGTCTCGGCCACCAGCCTCCGGATCTGGGCCAGTGTGCTGCCAGCTTCCTCCATCTCCCTCCAGATGAGAAACACATCTTCTCTGACCCCAGCTCCTGAAAGGGAAACCCATGTGAGCAAGTGACTGCAGGAGGCTCCAGAACCCTCTGATGGTCTCAGCAGGCCTGGCACACCCTGGCCAAGTTTCTAGAATATTTCTGAGCATCGAATTCCATTTTTCCCACTAATTCTTTCTGAGATTCAGAAATGAAATCCCTAAGAAAATGCTGTCATCTCAAGAAATCATAAATGCAGACTTTAGGATGCAATAAGTCCTCATAAAGGAAATATTTGTAGCAGCCAATATATTTTAAGATGAGTTTATTGATAACACTCAAATAAAATAAACAGTAAAAATATTCAAAAAGCATCTAATGAAAGCCAGAGTTATCACTGTGGGGCAGGGAAACTCAACGGTCTATGAAAGTAATACCCCTCACCTCTTGACCAAGTTGGGACTTTCTGCTCTTCTGAAACCACCTTCACAACTTGGTATTTTTCCCTAATGTACTAACAATTCTTTGGCCTCATTTTCTGGAACTCTGCTGTCTCAGTTAAGGGTTTGGTTTGGCTGTATGTCTTTTTTTTTTTTTAAATGATATGGCTAAATTAAATATAGACATTTATATCATTGTAGCAACCAATCATTCAGTCAATCAAAGTTCACCCCATCGGTAAGAGGTCCAATGCTGGGATAGAAGCTCTGCCTCCACTAAGATCCTGGCTCTAACATGTGAGTAGTTTGAGAGGTTAAGGATGGTGTAGGAGCAGGAGGGAGATGGGTGTGACTATAAAAGTGCAACATGAGGGAACCTGGGGCAGCATATTGACAGCATTAATATCAATATGCTGGTGGTGATATCATCCTATAGTTTTGCAAGATGCCAAAAAGAGCAGGTGGGTGGGACTTCCCCAGTGGTCCAGTGGTTTAGACCTCACCATCCAATTGAGTGGGTGTGGGTTCGATTTTGAGGAGTTAAGATCCCACATGCCTTGGAATCAAAGCACCAAAATGTAAAACAGACGCAATATTGTAACAAATTCAATAAAAACTTTAAAAATGGTCCACATAAAAAAAATCTTAAAAAAAAAAGAGCATGTGGGCATTTCTTACAGCTACAGTTCTCTCTACCTACAGTTCTCTCCACCTTGTCTGCTGTGCATACGAGGTCAGCGGCAACTCCCACAGGCAACCACACTAAGCAGATGCCACTCAACCATTTTCAGTGGCATCTGTGGGCCCAGCCACCACCTGGCACCACTTAAGGCATGGTGGGGGCTACAGGGGAGTCTCTGCTCTGGGGTTCTTCTAAAAGGTTGTGTAGATAAGAATTCAGCAGATGTATTCTCTAGTTTTTAAAGATTCCATTTCAAAAAACTTTATCCAAAAAAAACCCCATACACAACAAATCTATTTCACAGACTGTATGCAGTTGGCTCAGAGAACACTGATGTTTTTACTTAAGTAAGCTGAGTCCCAATTCTCTAATGATAAATACCTTTTCAGAGTACCTGCTATGTGCCTGGCATTGTGCTTAGGGCCTTCTAAACATTTTTTCATCTCTCTTCACCACAACACTGCAGGCAAATTCTATTCCTGTTTCTGTTTCATGACTGTGTAAATGGAGGCAGAGTTAGTTGTCCAAGCTCACACCAAGGTCAAGTGGTAGAGCAGGGTATCAAATCCAAGTGGATGTGACTGTACCAACTCAGCACCCTGACTAGTTGTCCTGGAATGGGGATGACTGGTTAAGAGGCCCCTGCAGCCCCTGCCCCAGCTGCTGATGTCATCGAGTTTAACAGTCCATGGATGCCCGAGATCCCACAACCACAGAGAATGAAGGACCACCATCAGGTCTAGGAGATGACACAGGAGATTTATCCACCCCCAAAAGACTGACCTTAAACCACTAGGACAGACTGGGGCAGGCCAGAGTCAATGTTCACGGGGAAGCTGGGGGACACCAGAGCTTTGCCCTCCTGAAGGGCTGAGCGAGTGAGACAGCACTGACAGCCATATTCACTAAGAAGCAAGTGACAGCCCCTGACAGAGGTGGACAGCCACCAGTGCTGGCGGCCATCAGCAGCCCCAGGAGCAAAATGTGACGAGTGCCCAGCTCCACGCTGGGCACTCCAAAAATATCGCAGGCTGCTGCCAACTGCAAACCTGCGGCCCACAGGACTTTCTGACCCTGTGACAGCAAAGCTGACTTCCAGCTGCTCGCTTCAGCCTAGACGTGTTAAGTAGCAGACTTCTCTCATTAAAAGTCTCAAATGAGTCAAGGCTTTCCATTTTCCCCAGGCTTGCCAATGATATGTCAAGAAGTGGACCACTCTTTCAGCATCAAAGGAAAAGCTTCCAAGGAAATACAGTAGCCACTCACTGATCCAAGGACAAGAAAGTATGTTTAAGGGGCAGCAGTGAGCTGGGATGTGCTCCCCTGAGCAAGGAGTCACTAAACTATCACTCTACTGGTTTAGTCGTTAGAATTAGGCAGCTACACATTCCTACACTGGGGATTGGGAAACAAAACAACTCAAAATGACCCACCTAGGGCCTCCCTGGTGGTTCAGTGATAAAAGAATCCACCCACCAATGAGGAAGACACGGGTTCGATCCCTGATCCAGGAAGATTTCACATGCTGGGGAGCAACTAAGCCCGTGCAGCTTAACTACTCTGTGCTCCAGAGCCTGGGAGCCCCAACCACTGAGCCCATGTGTCACAAGAGCACCATGAGCCCCAGAGCCCTGTGCTCTGCAACCAAGACGAGCCACTGAAATGAGAAGCCTCAGCAGTGCAACTGAAGAGGAGCCCCTGCTCACCACAACTAGAAACAAGCCAGAGCAGTAACAAAAACCCAGCACAGCCAAAAATAAAATAAACAAATAGAGTTACATATTAAAAACCTACCCATTTAACTAGGTTTGCTTTAAAAACAAACACAATGAAACAAAACCAGCTAGTAGACAAGGAAAAAAACACAGGCAATAAAAAGCCTAACTTAGAAGGTAGAGGGGTTTTTTTTATGACTTAAAAAAAAAATTATTTATTTGGTTGTGCTGGGTCTTAGTTGCAGCATGTGGGATCTAGTTCCTTGACCAGGGATCAAACCCAGGACCCCTGCACTGGGAACTCAAGAGTCTTAGCCACTGGACCACCAGGGAAGTCCCCAGAAGGTAGAGGTTTTATTTCAAATTATCCTATAGCCAGTCAGAAAGAGATATCATTTTTATCTGGGTCACTTCTAAGGAACTTAGATGGAAAATCAAAACAGCTGCAGCCAAGGAGATAGCCCCACTGAAAATAGAAGAGTGTGGAGGATGAGACACAAGAAATTTCAGTATTCAGAAAGCTCTGTGAGTTTGAAATTCTCCAGGTCAAATCAGAGAGGAGATGAAACCACAGTGGATCCTGACCATCAAGGTATAAGCCATCTAGAGACCTGTCATGCACAGCAACAGGGTACCGCTCCTCATAGAGACACCAAGGTGACCTAAAAGACCCAGTCCAAAGGACTCTCTCCCCTCACCAACGCCTGACATCCCCCTAGGCCTTGTGGCAACAACTTGAAGGCTCCCAGAATGCTGACACCAGTTGGAGCTAGGGTCACATCAAGCTGCTGTTTGTCATTTGTACCCGGTACAGACTTTTCAGACTGGCTAGTTCAATGTATGAATGAGACCCAGGTGAGGTATGTTTTGACGTTATCAGGGGAAGAGCCCACAGAGTACCTGCCACCAAACACCATCTCCCTGTTAAACTTGTCTCACCTGCAGCATAAAGTCCAGTTGTCAGAGTCCAATTCATTAATCTTTTTAAATTTAATTAATTAAATTATTTTTGACTGTGCTCGGTCTTCATTGCTGTATGCAGGCTTTCTCCAGTTGCAGTGTGCAGGCTTCTCACTGCAGTAGCTTCTCCAGTTGCAGAGCACAGGCCCAGTAACTGTGGCACATAGGCTTAGTTGTTCCATGGCATATGGAATCTTTCCGGACCAGGGATTGAACCCATGTCCCCTGCATTGGCAGGTGACTCTTAACTACTGGACACCAGGGAAGTTCCCATTATTCTATTCATTTGGCAAATACTCACTGAGCACATAGTATACATGGTGAGTGGACACTGTCAAGTGAGCAGGGCCCTGCTCCCTGAGCTGGCATTTAAATCCAGGGCTCAAGTTCCCCCAGTACATTCCTTCTAATAGTTTGCCACCATGAACCCGGCCAGAGCACTGTCCTCCCAGCTCTCCAGGGCCCCTGCATCTACCCTGTGCTCCCAATCGGGGGCTCATAGCCCACCACTGCACTTACCTAACCCCACCCTTCAATCAAGGCACTGGCCTGATTCCATTATCAAGCTTTGCCCAGCCTCTCCATGAAACAGCCATCTTCCTTCTGCCCCTTCTTAATTCCCATGAAATGACCCAGCCACAACCGCAGCTCTCAGTGCTTCTGCTGCCAGGACACACTCTCAGGCCGCACACCATTAGACAGGCTGGCGCCATATGCAAATCCTGGCTGCCTGGCATGTCAACCTCCACTTCCAAAAAGCACAGAGAAGCATCGGGCAGAGATGGTGAATTAGTGTATCCAGACCTTGAATCCAGGCTAATTTAAGTCAATCCTTCACAAACACAAGGCTTTATTTTTAGTAAGCAGCTGCTAACAACACAGCTCACCACTCAGCACTGTGTCCAGGGCCATCTGGGGGCCGAGAGCTGTCATCTACAGCTTTTCTATGGTATCAGCCTGCAGAGTTGGATTACAGGTTCTGTTTGCAAGGGCACAACGTCTCTTCTATCTTTATATCCTCCAAGGCACTCAGCACAGGATCCAGAGTTTCCAGTAAGAATTCCAATCCTTCCTCCTTTCATTTTTTTATGAAGAAACAATGACCAAGTATCTAACATGTTCTTTCCGCAAGGAATTGCACTATCTCATAACTGACAGTCCCTAATCATGCAAGAAAAGAAACTCTTCTGAATGGTATATAACAGACTTATATCATTTGAGCATACGGCTATGCCCTAGGTATGCTGGATATTGACAGTGACA